CATGCTGGGAGACAGTTGGCCAGGTGAGACCCCCACCCCAGAGCCCTGAGCTTCCCCTCCCCCTTCTTCCCCTTGCTTTCCCCTTCCAGCTCCCTCCTCCCAGGTTTCCTCCTCCCCTCTTCCACCCTGTCTTCTCCCTCTCCCACCTCCTTTCCCCAGTCTCCCCAGAGTTTTATCCCCCCCCCCAGTTTTGTTAAATAAAGAGAGTTTATATTTTTGAAAATACATGTATTTTATTTGACATCAGGAGGGGGGGGGGGGGGAAGTGGAAGGCAGGAAAGCAAGCAGGGATTCCTGAAACCTGACTGCCGGGGGAGAGGGGGTATACCTTTAAGCACAGGCCTCAGATAGCCTCAGGCAACAGCCACACAAAGATACTCCTTACCTAATGCCCTAACCCTGAACTGGTTCTGGCTGGCTTTAACTCCGAATCAGTGTCCATGCAGTGTGGATGCGGTATTTCAAAATAGCAAAATGCTATTTCAAAATGTATTTTGTGTGTAGATGCGTTATTTTGAAATAACTTATTTTGAATTAACTATTTTGAAATAAGATATTCTGAAATAACACTGTAGTGTAGACATACCCAGAGTCTTTGTGTACAAAATGCATCATAGTAGCTTAAATATGCCTGGAGACAGTTACAACTATTCTTGAAGCCTTCTGAAAAGTAATGTATTTTTTGTTTAACCAAATATAATGTGCAGTTTTTCTCTTTTCACTTGAGATTGTTTAGATTATTAACCGTGCAATGCTATGAATTTTAGCTTGTGCAGTATAGCATTTACAATATGGTATAGTAACTACCATTATAAACCTCAGCACTCTTATTTCTTACACTGCTGATGATTTTTTCTGAATAATGGTGGATGTTGATGAGGGGATGGAACTAGTCTTCCCTAGATAGTAGAAGAAGAACAAGATGCAGCCAGTTTTCCGTAGATTGTTTTAAGTGAGTGAAGTCCTAAGTTTCTTCCCTGTAATGACTTTTTAAAAATTCCAGACAAGAATGAGGTGAACTAAAAGTGGCTCACAAATTCTTAGTGCAGCTCATGAATCTATTCTCTTCCCTCTTCCCTCCCCATTGTAACCTATTGTCATGTCAAAATCTGAGATGTGGAAGGTCAGGCCTTGTGGTTGGTTGGTAGGCCAGGAACCAGAGCCAAAGATCTTAGCTGTAGTCAGGCGCTGAATCAAGTTCAGAACAAAGCAAGACTTGTGCAAAGAGCTGGTCTGAATCAGATTAAGGTCTCTGGAGTCTGCCACTACTATCAGGCAGGGGAGAGTTCCAAGACATAAAGTTACATTGAAAAAATAGCTGCTGTTTCATTTGTAAAGGTAATATTCCTACCCTGAGAGTAAAAAAAAATTGTTTTGTTTTGTGAAAGTTATCTGGTTTCCATGGAAAATTTCAACTTTGTAAAAGAATCCTTGCTAGAATACATTTCCCATAATGCATCATAGTCTACCCTCTTGCTGAAATATGCTGGTATATTATGGAACACTCATGGCTGGGTGCATCATGGGAAATATAATTCAGAGAGAGAACCTGACCCAAAGATAAGAAAAGAGACCTTTCTGGATCATACATTTCGGCTGTGTCTACACTGGCCCCTTCTTCGGAAGAGGCATGCTAATTTCTAACTTTGGAATAGGGAAATCCATGGGGGATTTAAAGATCCCCCGCGGGATTTAAATAAACATGGCCACCGCTTTTTTTCTGGCTTGGGGAAAAGCCGGAAAAGAGCGTCCAGACTGGCGCGATCCTCCGGAAAAGGGCTTTATTCCGGAGGATCGCGCCAGTCTGGACGCTCTTTTCCGGCTTTTCCCCAAGCCAGAAAAAAAGCGGTGGCCATGTTTATTTAAATCCCGCGGGGGATCTTTAAATCCCCCATGGATTTCCCTATTCCAAAGTTAGAAATTAGCATGCCTCTTCCGAAGAAGGGGCCAGTGTAGACACAGCCGAAATGTATGATCCAGAAAGGTCTCTTTTCTTATCTTTGGGTCAGGTTCTCTCTCTGAATTATATTTCCCATGATGCACCCAGCCATGAGTGTTCCATAATATACCAGCATATTTCAGCAAGAGGGTAGACTATGATGCATTATGGGAAATGTATTCTAGCAAGGAATCCTGACCCAAAGAAGGAATGGCTGCATGAAGAACTATGAGTCCCATACAGAATTTCTAAATAATTTTTTTAAGGTTTTGGCCAACATTTTTGGCTTTCAATTTTTTAATATATTTTATATTCAGCTCTAAATAGGAATATACCGCCATTCTTTGTAAGGCATCATCCAGTGTCTGATTTCTTCTGTTCTTCATTTAGCATTTGAAAATATTAATAAAGCAGAAGGAAGTCTCTTTTGCTAAATCCTTAAGCTCTTTCTCTAATGTATTTATGAGTCATTGCTGTGACTTTGAAACCTGTGTTTGAGCTTCTGGTAGATTTCTGATCCAAGAAATCTGGGATAAGAATCCCTTTCCATGTGCATGTAAACTATTCTCTGAGCTTCATCAAAACAAGACTGAGTTGGTTCTTGAATATTTCTGATAATAGCTTCCCTTGCAGGACTATCAATGTTAATCTGAAAAATAAAGCAAAATTAAAGGAGTTACAACAAAAATATTGAGGGCAGAAAAGAAAAGATGAATCTTGGCATTCTGCAGTCTATTCCTTATATCTATGGGTGTGTCTAGACTACATGCCTCCTTCGACGGAGGCATGTAGATTAGCCAGATCGGAAATTCATTTAAATTTAAATGGCTGCCCCGATCTGCCGATCAGCTGTTTGTCGGCAGATTGGGGGAGTCTGGACGCGATGCCCCGACAAAGAAGCCTTTCTTCATCGACACAGGTAAGCCTGGTTTCACGAGGCTTACCTGTGTCGATGAAGAAAGGCTTCTTTGTTGGGGCATCGCGTCCAGACTCCCCCGATCTGCCGACAAACAGCTGATCGGCAGATCGGGGCAGCCATTTAAATTTAAATGAAGCCGCGATTATTTTAATCGCGGCTTCATTTCCCCCTTCCGATCTGGCTAATCTACATGCCTCCGTCGAAGGAGGCATGTAGTCTAGACACACCCTATATGATTGGGTTTCTCACCAGGTTGACTATGGAGCACCCAATGGCTCCTATTGGTCAGAACTTCTGAAGAACAGGCCTTAAGTTACCTAACTATGGATACAGGAGGAAGATATTATGAAATATTAAAATCTAATATTTAAAAATCTTGTTTCAAAGTGTTTGTCTCCTTGACTTAAACTTAGGTTCCTATGTTCATATTTAGATAACTGAAGGCCTGTTTTTCAGAAGTTCTGACTGAAATTGGTGGGATACTTTGGGTGCTCATCACTCTTGAAAATCAGGCTATGCAAGTCACTGTAGCTTCTGGGTTATTATACAACAGAGTTTGTACATCAATCTGGTTTAGGAAATGGATTATTCATTATAGAGTATGAGACTCAGGAGTCAAGTGAAGATTTTCAGTGAATGAGTAGAAGGTTTGTGGATATATAAGAGCTATCACTGCTGGTAGAAAGGTACTCCAAATAAAAATTGAACCTCACTATGATCTAGCAGATTAACTAAGACAATAGCATTTCAAGAAAACATTTGGTAAGTTAGACTTGCTATGATAAATTAAACTTGGTCTATTAGAGACTGAAAGATGAGTTGGAGGGATGTGAATTAATGTAATCTTTGATGTATGAAGATCTTGTTGTACCAAGAGTATGTGGATTTCTTTTTTATAAGGTGCATTCTATGCCTTCCTGGTTACTGATGTGTTTTTGTTTTTGTTTATACAGACTATATTGAGATTACTATCAGCTTCCATTTGAAAAAGAGAAAGTTTCAAGCCCTAATTTTGCAGAATAAAATTTGAAAATAGGAAGCAAGTGTATTCCTAAAAGCTCAAGACTGGAAGACACATTAAGAACTCATAAATTATTATTTTAACAATTTTTATGCTGATCTCATGAGTATGAGAACTTTGTCATGATTATTCAGTATCTGAGGCTGGCTACACTGCTTTTCATTTGTGAAAATCAAATGCAAGGTTATCCATTTTGGAGCATGTGTATTTTCTGATGGAATCTCTTACAAATATTCATGCAAAGCTCAGGAAACAGTGAGCCAACCAATCAAGCTCTTCTTCACTGCCCTGTTGCCAAAAAACCTAATAAAAAATCCGTCACATTGATGGTCTTGCATCAGCCAATTCTCAACAGGGATGGAACTGGGTGGAGATCCTACTTAATTTCTAGACACAGTAAGAGCAATATTATCTAGTGTGGTCCTGTACCAGTCACAAAGCTCTTTAGACTGGCATTTCTGACCATCATTGAAAGCTTGGTTTATAGTCTGGCTGGTGTGACTCTTGTGCCTCTCCGGAAATGGTGACGTGCTTGCTTTTCCTTGGCAGGGGAACATTCAGCCCTCCCCCAGAGCTCTGGCTCCACAGCTCCCATTGGCTGGGAATGACGGACAATCGGAGCTGTGGGGCTGGCACCTGGGGACCAGAAGCAGCACGCAGAGTCACCTAGCCTTGCCTCTGCCTAGAAGCAATAGGGAAATGTTACTGCTTGTAGGGAGCCACTTGAAATGAGTACCACCCAGATATGGCACTCCTCAAACCCTGGCACACCTAAATTCCCTCTCTGAGCCTGAACCCCCTGCATCTTCCTGCAGTCCTAATCCCTGGACCCAGCCTGAACCCCCTCCTGCATCCCTAGCCTAGATCCCCTTCCTATATCCCAAACACTAAGTTTAAAAGAATATTTGACTCATCGGCACCTCTCATCCTCCCAACATGATGGATATCAAAAATTTTACTGCACTTAGTCCAGTCTTTTAATATATAAGGGTCTTATTTAAAGTCTACTGAAATATATGGAAAGACTCTCATTGGTGTCAACAAGCTTTGTATATTTCCCTAAAAGAATGGGGAGAAACCCCAGAAATTTAGATCTAGAACCTAATCTGCCTCAGTTTCAATAAGGTTAAAATACTTAATTAACTACTTCACAGAAGGGTGCTGCAAAGAGGTTTAATCAAGTAAACATCTTTACACTGCTTTATACAGTGAGTGCAACTGCCAAGTATTGTTGAATTTTGCAAATTGCTGCTTTCAGTTTCAACAGATAACACGTACACATTTTTAACATAAACATCTGTGTGTGTGTGTGTGTGTGTGTGTGTGTGTGTTTACACATGCATGTGGGAGGGAGGAGCAGATCAGTTTTTACAATGTTTATTCACCTCTTTAGGTGCCAAAGGTTGAATGTAATTTTTAAAAATTTTCCTGGCCACAGAAATTCTTTTCCTCCTTGATGCAATCTTCTTGTAAGTTTCACATGCAAGCCAGAATTCAATGTTCTCATCACTGTACTCTGTCTTCAGGTAGGTCTTGTACATTACAGGCCCATCTGAAAGGGTTACAGAAATCTAACATTATAAACTATAAATGCTACACGTAGGAAGACAATTCAAGAAGGATTTGCTCAGCTCAGAATGAAAATGACTAGATAAGAATTATGGACCAGTTTCTGATATTTTTATTTATGTTGTATAGTTTCTGATTCCACAAGGAATCTTACAGAAGACAATGGGGCTACTTACAGGATAAGGTACTATCCAAACTCAGGAAGGGTATCACAGACTACTTTTAAATAAGTAAGGAATTCTTCTGGCCCTTTTTGTTTTATATTGTTTAGAAAAATGTGAGACTGTTAATAGAATGGCTTTTAAAAGAATACTTAGGAAATAAATGCCTACTCAATGTGATACTCAAAAGGTTAAGGCTTTGATAGTCTTCTTTTTAGATATGCTTATAACTCCCTTAACATTAGTGAGAGTTGCACATGTACACAGAAAGCAGAATACTGAATAATTTCCCTCTCATCTTTGGTTTAAAAGTCACAAAACACGTGTGTGTGTGTGTGTGTGTGTGTGTGTGTGTGTGTGTGTGTGTGTGTATAAAATCTATTATTTTGAAAATTCAGCTATGCAATGAAGTGAAAAATTTCTAAACCTCAGAAAATCATGGTATGTTGGAAAAAAAGGGAAAGAAGGTTTTAATTTTTCATTTTCCCCCTTGTTTCTTCAAATGAAAAGATAACTTTTAGTGCTGTCATCATTGTAACTAAGAAATCTGCTAGAATTTTCTCTCCAGTAATTGAAAGGATTTGCATATTTCAATTCCAGTGCACATTAACGGTACAGTACACCCTTGTTGTAACTAATCCTGGGGATCAGTGTTCCCTGTAATCTGTGTGCTTGTGCAGCCACTCATGAGAGATCCAAATGCTGCCCAACTGATTAGCAAAGCACCCATTGCTAGGTTTTTTGTTTTAACTGAGGGGACACATTCACACATATCTCAGTGCACATAAAATTATTCTACACATGGAGGGGGGAAAATTAGAGGGAACATTGCTAGGGATGCAAGACAGCTGTTTAGTCTAGCCAGTTGTTCCATATAGCAAAAGGGGCATGATGGAGACAGAGGTTCTCTGGCCACAGGCCATCGTGAGCAGGGTGGATGAGATCTGTGGACCATGTTTGACATAACCCAAGTTTTTCTATTGCAAAGGGCCTTCTTTGTTTTGTCCAAACATCCTGAATCCTATTGATTTTGGTTTTATTGGTGGTAAGAAGTGCTCTGTGATAAGAAGTTGCACCTCCACTGACTTCAAGTGAAGCTTCTCACTGTTCACGTACTTGGTCTTTTGCATCATCCTTCCCGAGAGCTTATTCATATTGGGAAACTTCCCAACTATACAAGAAAAAGGTTGGGTCTAACTTAGGTGTTACTACTCAAGAAAGAGATTGTGGCATCATTGTGGATAGGGTGCCTATTTCACGAGGAGTAACGGTAGTTCGGAATAGGAACCCTAGTCCGAACTACCTAGTTCGAGCCCCGTGTAGCCGCGCTACACGGGGTTCGAAGCAGCGGGGATTTAAAAATGGCGGCTCCCCGCTTATGCTAATGAAGCCCGGGAAATTCAAATCCCGGGCTTCATTAGCAAGTGCGGTATGCATACATTACCCCGCTAGTTCGAACTAGTGGGGTAGTGTAGACATACCCAAAGTTATTTTGAAATAATGGCTGTTATTTCGAAATAACTTTGCTGTGTAGACATGCCCATGGAGAATAGGCCAATGAATGGCTATTAGCTAATATGTGTAGGGATGCAATACCATGCTCTGGGTGTCCCTAGACTCGGATGGTCATATTTGGGGACTGGATCACTTGATAATTTATCTGTTCTGTTAATTCCTTTTGAAATATTTGGCTTTGGCCATTATCAGATGACAGATAACTGACCTAAATGGACAATTGATCTGACCCAATATGGCCATTCTTATATCCTTTTCTTTGATTTTGTGTTAAGTACATAAAAATCTTGCCGTTTGCAGCTCTTTTAGTATTTGTTTTGAAATTTGAAACAATGGTGGTACTTAAAAATTTATGGATAATTTTAAGGGTTTATATCATGACCAAAGAATATTTATGGTTTATTTCTATGAATGCCAGAAAAATTCATGGTGAAAATACAAGATGGGACAGCTCCTTAAATATGAAGGATTAACATATGTTGTGGGAAACCATTTAAATGAAGCAGGCACTTAAGAGTTAGTAGTGAGTGGGGTCTGTTGCATATAATTATAAGCCATACATTCAGTATCTCTGTTTAAGTCTATTCTTTTTCGTGCTCATCAGAGATATACATTTAAATTCCAACGCTTTTCCTTTGAAGGAGAAGGCTTCCATTTAGAATGAGAACTGAGGACATTGATGATATTTTCATCCTCTGGACAAATCACCTAAGCTTACCAATAGATTTCCACCAGAACTTCAAGCATCACTGCCCATCCATCAAACATTCTAGAACATTCCCATACTACCTTCTTGATACTATGATCAGCTTCAACAACAGAATCCTTTAGACAACCATATACATGACACCAATGGATTCAGCAACCATTCTGGACACACCAAGAAATCCGTTTATCCACAGTCAACCACTTAGGGTATGTCTAGACTGCATCCCTCTGTTGGCAGAGGGATGCAGATTAGGCAGGTTGACTTTGCAAATGAGGCAGGGATTTAAATATCCCACGCCTAGTTTGCATAAAAATGGCCTTGACTTTGCAAATGAGGATCTGTCGAAAAAGGCTTTCTTTCTCGACAGATCCCCCTCTAGACTGCTGCTTTTTTTCAGACAATGTGCTGAGTCTGCAAAATATGGCAGCCATTTTTATGCAAATTAGGTGTGGGATATTTAAATCCCTGCCTCATTTGCAAAGTCAACCTGCCTAATCTGCATCCCTCTGCCAACAGAGGGATGCAGTTTAGACATACCCTCTGTTACCACAGAATTTACTCTAAGGAGAAAGTCCGTGGTATGAACATAAACAAACTAATAAAAAGTCTTCACCAAACAAGGACATGCTACCAGCAAAACAGATCACATCATAGAATGAGTCACACAAATATCTTGGGAGAAGCTGCTTCACAACAGGAAAAAGCCGACATTAAACATTTACCCTTAGTTTTCACCAGCACTCCATGCTGGAACCCACAGTGGATTTCATCAAACTACAACCCATACTTGAAGGGACCACATATTAAAATAAATCTTTCCTAAGCCCCCTCTCCTGGCCTTTAAACAACCTCCCAACCTCACCAAGATCGTTATCAGAACCAAGGTTCCCATGCACTAAGACATACCAATTCAATACAGCATTAGATTCTGCCATAATAACAAATACAAACCTGCAGATGTTTGTCCATTGCTACAATGATCAATACTCCTCAGAGCACACCTTTCAAGACTCATACGTCCTGTATCAAATGCCTATATCAACCTGTGGTGTACCACAACTAGCACATCCAGTGTTCCAAAACAACAGTGTCACAAACACTTTTCACAAAGCAGTCACTCCATATTTGACCTCTCAGTCCTCATCCTCAAAGTAAACCTGTGGAAAGTCAGATTTCTTTTGCAATATGAGACTAGAAACTTAAATTTATAAGTTTGCTGAAACTTAAAACCATTGACTTAACATAGATGCTGGATTTATGGTTTATTACAAAAACGTGTAACATATCCTACTATCTGATAACCCTTAATGGCTTACTTAATTTTAACTGGTGTCCTACAGCATTTGTGAATTCCTTTTTGCTTAATGGCCCATCTGGGTTTATATTTAATTAGGATGCTCTGGTTACCTTCTCCAGAACTGAGGAAGAGCTCTGTGAAGCACAAAAACTTATCTCTTGTAGCAGCAGAAGCTATTACCTCACCTATCTTTATCTCATGGAAGAATTCATAGTGACTAATTATATTCCATGGACATCAAGAGCATTAGTAATTGATTTGCTATTACAATTCTTTCATTCATTTTCCTTTTTAACAGAAGGCAGTTTCCATAAAACACAGTAAATGAGATATTCTATTAAATCATCTGAGCCCTCCCATCCTTATTCACATATTTCTAAATAAGGGTTAGGTAACTGGTAAATATCTCTGCTAGAGTACAAACATACAACTACTTACATTTAGTAGTCATCAGCTTTTCAAAAGATTGGGACCACTGTAGCACTTCCTCCAATGACATTCTTTGCAAAAGTGGAAAGGTTATTGTGGGATTAGAATTGAAGTTAACTGTGTGTCTAATGTTAGGTTTAAAAATAAAGCTAAAATAAAAAGAAAGTATTGTTGCATAATTCTAGACAGACTTTGTGCAAATTCATTTCTGAACATCAGAGGAGAGAGAGAACTAATCTCAAAGAAAAATAAATTTCTAAGAGTCATATCCTGAATTGTTATAAATCAGTGTAGCTTTATGTATACCACCTGAGTCTGTTGGTCTTATAATTTTTCATATCCAACCACTGTTAATTTAAAAGAAATGCCACTGTACATTCAATTAATGTAAGAGATTAAAAAGAATATGCATCATAATACATTAGCCTCTAATCAAACTGGAAAGAGTTGGCATTCTTGCTTGATCCTTCCAGTTACTGAAACCCAACTATAGCCACTTAAGTACCATAAAGTTCAAGAATAATCCATATTTGATTAAAAACAGCATTGGCTTGTGGATAGCGAGTGCTAATGAATGCTCTGCACAACAGCTGTTTGCTTGTTTTGTAGTTTAGTGTGTGGTGATTTCTTAGGTTTGTTTGATATAATTCTAGGACAGATATCACTGCTGTGTGTTTATAAGAAGCTAATCTTTTCTCAGGAAATTTCTGGACAATTTAACATATATTTTTGGTAGAAATGTTGTGAGCACCAAACTGTGGTCTCAGCTATTCGATATTTTCCGCTCACACAATTGATTCTTGTTCAATTAGGACTTCATTAGAAAGGCTCTGCCACTGCCCGAGAATGGGCTTGTTGGCAGTGTGGGATACTACAGCGTTAGCTGCCCAACCCCCCCCCCTTTATATAAGTACTTGAGGTGTGAGGTTAAGGGTAGAAAAGAAGTTGCATCTGGTTCCTGAGAATGCTTATTCTTTGATAAAACTGCTTTTGAGTCATATCTGCTGTTACTGACGGATGCATTTTTACTGCTGTCAGCATTAGTACTTTTATACAGAGCAAGTGACATTCCTGTTTGTCAGTTTCCCTGAGCACTAGCAAAAATGCCTTCTTATTTCAGTTTTTGGATATAGAACGAGGAATACAGAGGCTTTTGAAAGAGCGTGTTTGCTCTTCCACAAAAAAAAGGGGGAAGAGCAAATGCGTTCCCTTGACATGGAAAAACTGTATAGTCTAGACATACCCAAAGGGAAGACCTTGTTTTACCATAAACTGATTAAATATATTGAAGTCGCTGTGGGGAAAATGAATATGGGCTATTAAAATGTTAAGTATCAGAGGGGTAGCTGAGTTAGTCTGCATCTGCAAAAGTGACGAGGAATCCTGTGGCACCTTAGAGACTAACAGATGTATTGGAGCATAAGCTTTCATGGGCAAAGACCCACTTCATCAGATGCATGTAGTGGAAATTCCAGGGGCAGGTATAAATATACAGGCATAAGAAAAGAGTACCAACCAAGAGTAAGGCTAGAGATAGATAACAAGATCAATTCAGTCAGGGTGGATGAGGCCCACTTAGAGCAGCTGATGTGGAGGTGTGAACATCAAGAGAGGAGTAACTGCTTTTGTATTTGGCTAGCCTTTCATAGTCTTTGTTTAATCCTAAACTGATGGTGTCAGATTTGCACATGAATGTAGCTCAGCAGTTTCTCTCTGAAGACTGTTCTTGAAGTTTTTTTGTTGCAGGATGGCTACCTTTAAATCTGCTACTGTGTGTCCGGGGAGATTGAAGTGTTCTCCTACAGGTTTTTGTATGTTGCCATTCCTGATATCTGATTTGTGTCCATTTATTCTTTTACGTAGGGACTGTCCAGTTTGGCCAATGTATATAGCAGAGGGGCATTGCTGGCATATGATGGCATGTATTACATTGGTAGATGTGCAGGTGAATGAACCCATGATGGTGTGGCTGATCTGGTTAGGTCCTGTGATGGTATTACTGGTGTAGATATGTGGGCAGATTTGGCACTGAGGTTTGTTGCATCTATTGGTTCCATGTGATGGTATTACTGGTGTAGATATGTGGGTGCTGTTGAGAATTTGCTTCAGGTTGGTGGGTTGTCCGTGGCTGAGGGCTGGCCTGCCTCCCAAGGCCTGTGAAAGTGATGGATCATTGTCCAGGATGGGTTGTAGATCACTGATGATGAGTTGGAGAAGTTTTAGCTGAGGACTGTAGGTGATGGCCAGTGGTGTTCTGTTGGTTTCTTTGTTGGGCTTGTCTTGTAGTAGGAGGCTTCTGGGTACACATCTGGCTCTGTTGATCTGTTTCCTCACTTCCTCGTAGCTTGAAACTACAATACCCACCCGAGGAAGTCCAACAATGAAACCAACAGAACACCACTGGCCATCACCTACAGTCCTCAGCTAAAACTTCTCCAACTCATCATCAGTGATCTACAACCCATCCTGGACAATGATCCATCACTTTCACAGGCCTTTGGAGGCAGGCCAGTCCTCGCCCACAGACAATCCACCAACCTGAAGCAAATTCTCAACAGCAACTGTACACCACACCACAGTAACTCTAACTCTGGAACCAATCCCTGCAACAAACCTCGGTGCCAGTTCTGCCCACATATCTGGCAGTGGGGATGAGTGTATAATAAAAGAGTGTAGGACCCAAACACTCTGTGTTAAATTCATCCCAGGTATAGCTCAGTTAACTTTAGTGGGCTTATATCAGAAGTTGAATTTGGACAAAGATGTCTATGCCTGAACACTTCAAATAAAAATAATCCTATTACAGCATAAACAAAATGCAAATATATTGATCTTCTGTGAAGCAACAGCATGAATAAGTGGTGATCAATATGTGCAACAATGATGACGACATGGGTATGGGAAAATATTCAGCATAAAGTTGTGTCTTTAGATTTCTTGACTTTTTTAGTCAGGAGGCTAAATCCCTCATATCTTGTTGGATTATGTGACTGCAGAAGTATAGTATTACTTACTTAGAACTGATCCCATTTTCATCTTCTCTGAATAGCTTACAAAGCCAACAAATATTTGAGCTCATTCTCCTAAATAAAGAAAACATGTGAGATTTGGAACCTGATATATCCAGTCTGCTTAAAGTCCACTTGAGTTTTAGAGAGCTGACCAGTTCCAACTGTTTTCCTCCTTTTACATAAAGGAGATATCATTGGCATTGATCACACCTGTAAAACCGGAATTAACTGTTTAAATTCACTTACTATATTTATAGAAATATTCAATAAGAATGATGGCATCTTCACTCATCTCAATGGATATTTAGCCCATGGCTCTTGAGCATTAATGAAAAAATAATTGAAAGACTTTATTTTTAAAAGTTTGTTAAGGGCCTAATTGAAACAAATTAAATTATTCCATTTTAAAAGAGACTTGTTTCTTTGGTATTTTTTTTTAAAGAAAACCATAAATGTAGCAATTTCCTCTCTTTATAAAATAACACATCAGTAATCCCACAATCCCAGATACATAACCCTAGAAAAGCTTGAGTCTTATTACAATCTACTGCAATGCTATTCCTAACTTTGACTTTTTCCTAGACCTTTTTACAGGGCTTTATGTTTTTCATTCTCTTTTGTTAAGAAGTAAAGTATTCCTCTTAAAAATATTTTGAAGCATACACTATAAATATGCCTTGAGAGATTTAGGAGATTTGAGGCCTGACTCCAAGTCCATTAAAGTCAATGGGAATTTCTCCAGTCACAGGCTTTGAAACTTGTATGTAAAAGCTCAAGACTTTTAAATTGAATAACTTTGAATTTGTTATTGGGATATGCTGAACTACTATTAATACAAATTGTTGATCAGATTTAATAAACTTGTTCTGATATATGGTTCCTGTCCGTAACTAGGGGTACTGTCTGTGTTGTTGCAATGAGGAAATATCTATACTAGGATATTATTTGTGAAGTAAAGAATCTGTATCCCTTCTCCTTTTTATTTGTAGTTTTTTTATTAATTTGTCCATTTCCTTCTTTAAGTAATACCATATATTCTGAAGGCTGAATTCTTCCATACATTTATGTATAATGTTGTGTTATGAAGCAGGTCTTTCTCTAAGATGAGCAGGGCCACGAATGGGAAGTGAAGGAGGCAGTTGCCTTGGTTCCCAGTGATTTAAAAGGGCCCAGGTTTCTGGGCTGCTACTGTTGTTGCCATGGCGGAAGCAGTGGCCAAAGCCCCAGCCCTTTTAAATTGCCACCAGATGGTCCTGATGGCTCTGAGGGCTGGGTCAGGGAGATGCAGCACAGTCTAGGTGGTGACGAGGGCTGGCTATTCCTATCCCACCTCTTCTGCCCAAGGCTGAGTCCTCCCCATTGCTGTTGCCAGGCCTGAAAATGAATTCCTGGATAGATACATCTAGAGTGAGATTACTACACTATTCTCAGTCTAGAGTTACATTACTACACTAATCTAATTAGTGTAGTTAGATTACTAGGGTACGTCTACATTACAACGTTAATTCAAACTAACTAACTAAGCTAATTCGAACTAACGGATCCAGACTAAAAAACTAGTTCGAATTAGCGTTTTGCTAATTCGACCTAGCATGTCCACATTAAGTGGACCCTGAAGCAGGCTTAAGGATAGCCGGAAGCAGTGTCGGCAGGACATCAGAGGAGGACTTAGAGCGTGGAGATGCTGTCTCAGGCTAGCTGAGGGCTGTGCTAAAAGGGTCCCGACCCCCACCCCGGACAGACAGTTCTCAGGGGTGCCCCACTTGCAAAGCAGTCCTGGCTTGGAGTGCACTGAGTGCCCACACTGGGCATATCACAGCACTCGGCCATCAGCCCGGCTGCACTTGCCGCAGGCTGCCATCTGGGCAGAGGGGGCAATTAGGGGGCTGCAGGAGAGCTTCCACCTCCAGAAGCCCGCAGAGCCAGCCCAGTCCTCCCCATCGGGGGCGCGTACCCCATTCCTCCCTCACCTCCTTCCACTTACCCTTCCCTAGCCCCCCTTCTTATTGATGTACAAAATAAAGATAACGTATCTTCCAACACTGACTCTGTCTTTATTGAACAAAACTGGGGGAGACTGGGAAAAGGAGGTGGGAGAAGGGAAGAGAAAGGCTGGGAGAGGGGAGGGCAACTAACATGATCAGGGGTTGGGAACAGGTCCCAGATCAAG